TTTGCGATTATCACGTTTTCATATTGCGATTGTTTTCAGGGATTTTTACGTAATATATATTGCGACGAATATTTCGTACAATAACAATTTTTATAACTTGGAAATACATTTGGGAATAACTTAAATTTATTGCTAAATTCAGCAAAAGTTATCCATGAAATAAAAATAATTTTTGTACGAAAAGTAACGACCGGTGTACATTAAATTGTCTTTAATTTAAGTGGCAGCAGAAGAATTATAGTTGAACTTTTAAAAGGTAAGCATAAATCTTAATGCAATGCAGTGTAACCCGGATATAAGAGAATTGTCGGGACCGGAGAAGTAGTCTCTTATATCCAGGTTTGGTCTATTTAAAATACATTAACACAGGCTCAAATTTGGGACCAGAGAAAATCTCTCTTATATCCGGGTTTCTCTTATATCCAGGTTACACTGTACTTAAATACACTGATCAATTTTGAGTTCTTCTGTAGTTTATTGTTGTCTATCCCATTCGGCAGCAGTATGCCTTGCAAAAAGAAATGTCTGCCAACAGAGGACTAGATTGTAATCAAAAGCGCTAAGGCTGCAGCAAGGAAACGAAAGTCCCTTGCAAATGAAACCCCAAATCAAACGTCAACCAGCAGAGCTTCCAGTGCTGAGACTTAGGGACTCTCAAACTCCTGAACAACCATAGGCCTAATTAAGAGCCCTCAACAGGAGCTAGCTAAATGCCGCTCGATATGGCGGCTTTTAAGCTTGTTTTTATGATCCTTTTAAAAGCAAAAAATATGGGGCTGCATTATAAACAGTTTTTTGAAAAGGTTAAAATCAAAAATTTCCGGTGACCGACTGGACTATACACAGGTAAACTTTTGTTGGAGAGGAGTTAAAAATTGAGGGGTTGCACTTATACATGAAGTCGGGCCTATACACGAGTTTATACGGTATGTAATTTTCTCTTCAAGTTACATGTGCTGTCCATTTTAGTTGTTTCTGAGACCTCACGTGATGTGGTCTTTGCTATTTGGTGCAGTTCTTTGTTCGTGATTCTGTAGCCCAAATATACGAGGTTCGATGAAGTATGGTCCCCGTTGAGAAATACAGGCTTCGTTCTCTCGAAGTCATTTTAGCTGTTGATCTGAGAATGCGGTTGGACACAGCAATCATTTTCAAACATTTCTGAGAGAGTTTACCATCATGCATCTGACCCATATGACAGTCTCGTCAGATCAAGACTATTTAAGAACATAACAAAGTTTTAGCTTTGTAGCAATTTGCGGTGTAGTGTGAAACCACCCCTAGCTTAGCCTATTCTATATTCAAATCCCTTCTCTCCTATACTAAATTTGTTATAACTGATCCATACGATAAGGTATTTGAAGAATTTAGTGTTTGCTCATTCCATATCCTGAGTTATTTTATGATGGATACAGGATATGTGTCATCATAGCCTTCATTTCAATTTCGGATTATAGTTTCTGTTTTGGATAGGTTTACCTTGAGTCCTATTTCGTGGAACATTTGGAAGTGAATGTTGATTCTTTTTGTTTTTATTTGTTCAAGATCATATTTGATTTTTCTAGCATATAGCAATTTTTGAGATGGAGGAAAGACTTTATTGTATCTATCTTTGAAACCAGTCTAGTGGTGATACCTGTGGTACATAGACAGGATTTAAAACTCTTTGTTGAGGCCATAAAAATAGTCTATTTCTAGGATTTCCTTGACGTGTTTAATATTTACTAGTTCATTACTTTCATTCAGCTGCATATCAACCTTCATGAGAGCCGATTTCTTTTACATAATAATGGTTTAGTGATGCAAGTCTTAATATTTAACCCATAGCTGGAGGGAGAAGAGGTAGATTAATACATTTTCCAGGGGTATTTGTGCGTAAATGATTATAACGAACCCTACGGCAATTGAACTCGGCTCTCCGATTAACAACACCAGCACATACAAGCATGCAGCAACTGGTATTCTCAAGCGGTCACCCATCTAGGCTCGACATTGCTTAACTTCTGTGATCGTACGGGAACTGGTGTTTCAACGTGATGTCTCTGTAACCTTTTATTAGTTCCAGATTTTGAATTTTTATGATGGATTCAGAGTAGGCACCATGTCGGCTTTCATTCCAAGTCCAGATCATAGTATCTGTTTTGGAAAGGTTTACCTTGTCACGTTTCCTGAGACACTTGGCGAACGTTTTTATTCATTCTTATCACAACTATGAATACATATATCATCGGCATAACGCCACTATTATTCCTCAGTATATTTGCCTCAGGGGGGAATTCAGGAAAGCTGTTTTCTATTTGTAATTCACTCATTCCGAAGAAATGCCGCAAAGTATTTTGTCTGGCTAAAAAGAGATTAAATAAAATCTAATATTTTGTCATTTCGCTAGATTTTTTGTGTAGTAGGTCGAGCCGTGAACTTTTCCGCACAACACCTATATTACACAACAGATATAATTCCAGGGGCGATAGTCCAGAAGATTAGACGAATTGAGTGCGGTAGTCATGGTGAGTTCCAGCCTTGGTCTGAGTAGTACAGACTCAGGTTCAATTGAGACAATAATAGCAGTAACTGAGAAGCATTTTAAAAACAAAATATACAAGAAGTGATCCCTAGATATAGATAATGTATCGACGGCAGCAATCTACCCACCATAGATTAAATAAACGGTTCAAATAAAAATTTAATTATGGCGCTCCATTTATTTATTAAACAGTATATTTATTTTCGTCTACCGGCCTGAAATTTTCTTTAATAATATCTCGTGAACATTCGGGCCGGTAGACGAAAATAAATATACTGTTTAATAAATAAACAGATGGTCTTCTCAAATACGAGTATCCACTAAGATGTCGGATTAATAAAATAAATAAAACATTTTTTTAAGATATGTACCCAAAGGGTACAATAGAAAAATTGTCTAATAGTTGTTAGATTAATCTTTGCACTGTTACACCCGGTATATATATTCTAATTTTTATTTGTACAATAGATACGATTAGACATGAGTAATTCAACGTGACCTAATGCTTTGCAAACTTGTCTTACTCAAATATATTTTAAAAGATATTATTTTCTAAGGATAAACATTTATTTCTTTGACTTTTACTAGCGCTGTCAACAATTATCTTGTTTCAAATATTATTTATTCCAATTGCAATTTCTAGACGCTTTTTACCACAACTTTTCATCGGAAATTTAGGATTGTAACCAATATATCTGTTGTGATCAAGTAAATGGTTACAGAAATAACAAAACAAGTGTTGCAGATATATCATATATTAAACAATAAGTACAACAGAAGAGTATTACACGACTAGTGAGTGTGTCTCGGATGACCCAGCGTTCAATCTATTCGACTGTTATATTTAACAGTGGGATGTATGTGGCAGAAGGCCGAGTTTACCGTGGGTTTTCCGAGCCCGTAGGCTCGGCCAGAAATATTCCCTTTGAACCCGTATAAACGGGTTCAGCGCCTGTTTACCTCCTCGGACGAAACTTTGCCCTTCGACAAAGCCTCGTCCGGGTTCCTCTCTGCTCGAAGCTGAGAGTTCGACAGTAATGGACAATCTATGCGATCTATACAACCTCGTGGGATGCTGTTAACTATTAACAGCATCCCACGAGGGTGTATGTGGCACAAGGCCGGTTTATTGTGGGTACTCCGAGCCCCTAGGCTCGGCCAAAAATATTCCCTTTGGACCCGCTTAAACGGGTTCAGGGACTGTCCACCTCCCTGGACGAAACTTTGCCTTGCGAGTTCCTCTCTGCCGAGGCAGAGAGTTGGACAGCTGAACAATCTGTGCGACTGTTTTATTTAACAGTCCCCCCCACAAGGAATGTATGTGGTACAAGGCCGAGTTTAACGTGGGTTTCTCCGAGCCCGTAGGCTCAGCTAAAATATTCCCTTTGAACCCACCTAGATGGATTCAGGGACTTTTTACCACCCCAGAGGAAAATTTGCCCTGTGGCAAAGCCTCGTCCGAGTTCCTCTCTGCCGAAGCAGAGAGTTCGACAGTTGAACAATCTGTGCGACTGTTCCCGCAAGGCCTTATCTCCTACGAACCTTATATTAGGCAGAAGAGTCCAACATAAACTCTTTAGAGGGAGGACACCACGACAATATCAATTTTTTTTTTTTTTGGTTATTTTACTTAAAGTTCGTAAAAACAAATATCGCGCTGATAAGAACTGTGAAATGAATTGATATGTGTTTGGTTTTGTGAAAAATCTGTGAATTTCTCATAGCATATCTGTTTCGTCATTTGTTACATTCAATCTGGCTTCTCATAGATAAAAGGAAATGAATTTGTGTACTTGTTGAATTCCTTATTTATCCGCATACAGGCTGTCAGCTCTCGGTACAAGTTCTCAATTATTCTATCTTTCAAAAAATAAATCAAAGTTTTTTTTTTAAATGTTTCAGATACATCTTTCTTTCGCATATTATCAAATATTTTTTGCGAAGTCTATGAAACATAGGTGTAATACTAAAATAAGCACATCCCACCTCCCATTTCTCTTGTAACCATTCATCACAATAAAATAAACGTTTTTCAACACTAAGTCATAATGTGTTAAATAAAGTTTCATAAGCTTCTGCTAATAGTTTTTCATATTATAATAAGTATAAATTATTTTGCATATATATTGCACTCTCCTTCTTCATAATATCTTTTCTCCTAAATCAAAGGATCTGTTCTTTTTTCCTTCTATTTTTGTCTTTTCCTTCGATACTTTTGCCATGATTTTTCCTTCTTTTTGTGGAGAAATTGTAAGGAAAACAGTATTACTAAAATTCGAATTTTTCTGAAAATCTTTAAATTCCTTCTTTTTGTTCTTCGAGGAAAATACTGTTTCAATTGTCCTAAAATCTTTTTTCAGAATGTCTTTCTCCTTCGTAAGAAAATTTATGCAATTCAATTTTTCTCTACTTACCATGAAAATCAGCTTTCATTATCTTAGCTTTAATCTAAACTTGGACAACGTCCATTTTTAAGCAACCACTCCAGACACATCTCCTTCTTTTTCTTTGTCTTTCTCCTTCTTTTGTCCTTCTTTTTCTGTCTTTCTCCTTCTTTTTTGTCCTTCGTTTTTTCTGTCTTTCTCTTTCTTTTTGTCCTTCTTTTTCTGTCTTTCTCCTTCTTTTTGTCCTTCTTTTTCTGTCTTTCTCCTTCTTTTTGTCGTTCTTTTTCTGTCTTTCTCCTTCTTTTTGTCGTTCTTTTTCTGTCTTTCTCCTTCTTTTTGTCGTTCTTTTTCTGTCTTTCTCCTTCTTTTTGTCGTTCTTTTTCTGTATTTCTCCTTCTTTTTGTCGTTCTTTTTCTGTATTTCTCCTTCTTTTTGTCCTTCTTCTTCTTTTTGTCTTTCTCCTTCTTTTTGTCTTTCTCCTTCTTTTTCTTCTTTTTGTCCTTCTTCTTCTTTTTGTCCTTCTTCTTCTTTTTTTTCTTCTTTTTTTTTGTCTTTTCTCCTTTTCTTTTTTTTTGTCTTTCTTTTCTTTCTTTTGTCTTTCTCCTTTTTGTCTTTCTCCTTCTTCTGTAATTTATCATAAGAAATGAAAGTATTTCTTTATGAAAAATTACTAATTTCTGTATATGCCTTTATGAATTCCATTGTTTAATCTGTAGTTAGTTATTTAATCTAGGACATGCAAAAACTGATTATATTGAATAATAGGCTAAAAGAAAGAAATAGTAACTATAAGTAGAGAGTGAGATTAAAAATAGAAAAAAGTAAGCGTGGGAAGCAGAGAGGGATTGACAAATCTCAGAGAAAGAAAAGTTGATTCTCAAAGACAGATAACTGACAGAGCGGAGTTAATCAAAGCCGAACCTATGTATCGATCTCGTCGAAATTTTTGTTCATCAAATAATATTGATTTAATTACATGAATAATTATCACCCGAGTTATTCATTTGTCGTCTTTCTTTAATGACTTTACCTCTGTCATAACCAATAATCATCTGATTTAATTGCCATTACCTATTATAATCTGATTTAATTGTTCCTTATATTTATCAAAAAAACTTATGCCCATACATCTACTAAAAGAAGAATACTGCAGTTCCCCGCAAAAAGTGTTCGCTGAATGATAATGTGCACTTTATTTGAAAAGCAAAATAAAAAAAAACAAATATATAAGAAACTAGCTTCCACTTTTTCAATAGTTGCAAATGAATTCCTTATTTTGTGACCGATCACGCCAAAGATCTTTAAGATGGCGCACATAATAGTATCACTATCAGGTGATATTCTCTGTTTACGCGATTTACACCTGGTATAATTTTACACAATGGTGTTTCTCAATGTGTAAAGACAAATGTCATAAGATGATGCAGCCAATGGGAAAATGTGTAGACATTCTAAGATTCGCGTATAGCGCATGCGTGCGTCTCATCAACTTTTGTTTGTCTTATCCAGTCTCTTCTTTTTAGAAGAGGCGGATTTTGTGTCGCGATGTATATGAAAAGTGGCAACAACCAGATGTAAATGTCAATTTGATGGCTAAAATCGTCGAAGCAGAAGTAAACAAGAACAGAGAGATCAACAAAAACGAAATAAAATGATTAAAATTTACAGCGCAGGCAAATGTAGAAAAGTGGCGTCGAAAAAATGAAGAGGAAAAAAACTTAAAGGAAAGAGTAGGTAGAGACATTAGTCTGGAAAGAAAAGACACACGACTAAACCCAAGGGCCAAGTCAAATACAAAATGTATAAAAGATAGAATAATGAAAATAAGAGAGAAAATAGATAGACTAAAAAAAGGAGAGAGAAAAAATGGCTAAAGAAAGAGAGGGAGTGTCTTGTCTAAAAAAAAAAAAAAGAGGAAGTAGAAGCTGATTTAAATTAGACAGGGAAAAAAAGCTATCTTAAAAAGAAAATGGAGACCAAAGAGAGAAAATAGGAAGCTGAAAGATAGAGAATGGCAAAACTAAAGGGAAGAGAAATGAGAAAAGCACAATTCAAAGACAGAAAGAGAAGCTCACAGAAAGAGAATCGGAAATCTGAAAGACAGACAAAGAAGGATACTAAGTTCAAAGAGAGAGAGAGAGAAAGTCTAGTCTGATGAAAGAAAACGAAAGCATAAATTAAAAAGAGAGAAAGACAAGTAGAATTAAAGGCTAGATTAAGAAAAGGCAATGTGTTGTACGGTGAAAAAGAGGTCGAACGCCAAAGTTTAATGAACTGAGGAAAGAAAAGCAAAATTTAAATTAATGTATATCGTTTGAATATCGATCAAAAGCAGTAGATTTTAGAAAAGTAGGAATAAAAAAATAAAATGAGGAAATAGTAAGACTCGCGATAATAAATATTATAAGATAGAAGCTAAAATAAGAAAAAATAAAAATTCTTTGATCAACACTACACTCATGTCTTAGAATGCGGACCCTGATTATCCCACCGGCGTCTGTCTATTGTAGAAGGTTAAATACAGACAAGGTAATCATTCAAAGAATAGTTGAATGTAGAAAATATCGACGCATTATAGACGGAAGAAAAAAAGAAAAAGACACGTAGTTTAATATTTGTCCCCAAATAATTTTCTGAATATTAATGATGCATTCCACGTCTTCCAGTGCAAGTACAATCAGTACGTGACTACGTATGCTAATAGTGTCATTATTTTGGGCTAACTGAAAAATATATAGATAGATCTAAACTAAAATCTATTTATTGTCTCATCCCTGGCATGACGATAAACTACATCCAGCAGCAAGGCTTCTGATCGGGAGGTTTTGAAGACCGTGGAAGAACCACTTAACTATTGTTGTTCCCAGATCCACCCTGACCTGTGGTGGTAGCACCTGTTAGGGTTCCAGTCGTGGGGAAATACTTAAACCACAAACTTGGGTCAAAACACTATGAAAGTATAAAAATAGATATTTATATTAAAAATATCAGCAACACATTTAAATATATATATATATATATATATATATATATATATATGCGCAGGTATGCAGAAAATAGAAAAGAACACGTTAGGTGCATAATCCGGAGTTCCTTAGTATTTTTGTTTTTATTTTTAAGACAGTACTCCATACAGAAGTAGAGCTTTATTATAATATGTTTTTGTTTAAAAATATGATTCCTTCGCTACATAAGAGTTCTCATGTTGCAAAAACGAGAGCCGAAACCATCAAAATAATTATTAAAATTAAGTTGAATTGAGGTGTTTAGTCTCGTTTCATCTTCAAGCGAAATTTTAGGAATAAGCTATCTTTTGGTTTACGTGTGTTTTAGGCATGCCTAAAAAACACACGTAAACCAAGAGATAGCTCGTTTTGGAAACATGAGAACTCTTATGTAGCGAAGGAATCATATTTTAAACACACACACACATACACACACACATATATATATATGTGTGTGTTTGTGTATTTAAATAAAAAGAAAGAACAGTAAGATATATAATTCGGTGTTCTTATAGATATTTTTATTTTTACAAAATAGTGCTCAATGTAAATTTACAGACCATTAATATTATAAATTAATTGATTTAAAATATGTTTTTTTTTTTCGAATTCGCTTGAGGATGAAATGGAACTAATGCCTTTAATTTAATTGCAAAATTAAATTCGTGGCTTTTAGCTTCCATTTTTGAAACATGGTTAGAACTGTGTAGCGGAAAAAAAAACATATTTTAAATCAATTAATTTATAATATATATATATATATATATATATATATATTACCAGCAATAAATTTTTGAAAAAATATATATATTGCCAGCAATAGATTTGGCTCACGGCAAAAAACCTTCTTTAAAAAAAATACGTCAGTGAAACATGATCTACAAACTAATTTCTTAAAACGAACGCATATTCTATTAATAAGAACCTATCCTATAACTCTTATCGGCATTAAATAACGCATTGAGGTTGATATACCGTAAAACAAAATAAACCAAACCAATCTACTTAGTGTCAAGTTGTAAAAGATTTGAAAAATTGTTTATTTTCTAAAATCAAATATTTTATATTGATATCCACTTACAGTAGTTAGGCCTTAAAATCAACCACAAAAACCAAGTCGAGCCGGAAGATTAACACTGAAGATTTACGTTATTATTTTTCTCGTCGTAACAACAGGATGGCTCGCAAAAAATGATCAAATGCCATTAGAGGCGAACAAAAGATGTGCTACACAAATAGATTTTTAAAAAAAATTATATATATTACTGTGGCTTTGTAGAAAACAAGAAAAGGAAAGCAAGAGGAAAAGGGACAGATAAATATAACAACCATTATGGAATTTAACTTAATAGAATGTGAATTATTCAGTAATCTAGAAATTCTCAGTAAAAATAAGTGACCTAGGATAGACCTGGAATCCGTTCCTCAAAACGCCAGTGACACAAAACCGTCACCGTTACTTCAAGGTTCATTGTATGAAATGATTTTCACATGGTTAGGGGAACGAAAACAAAAGAATCGAACCGCGTCCACACAAGTGTATAAATACATATAATCCAATAAAAAAACATCAGACAGTAAAAATTCGCAGTGATTTCAAGTTTCCCGCTAGGAAGCAGTCTTCAGACAGTCACGCACACACACACAATATATATATATATATATATATATATATATATATATATATATGTATGTAAAATCTTCTGGCCTGAAGATTGCATTCCAGCTTCAATCGCTCTCACTACGCTGTGTTGACCTGAGTTTCCACTTATATATGATCCCATCCCAAAACAGAATAAAAACATTTTAAATCTGTATGTAAAAACGAAGAGATGTGAGTGTCAATCATAAGAATAAGATTATTTCGCCTACTTCTGGTATTAATGATTGGTGTTCGAGCCTTGATAAATTTGTTTGTTTTTTTTAAAGCAAAATACCCCTACTAACTAGACAGGTTGACTAAATGCTAACGTCATACGCTATTTTACACATTTGACTCTCATACAATAATACAGTTCATTTTAGATAAAGCAGTAGTTGGGTTTTAAACACACCTAATGCCAAACAGAGATTAAAAATAAAATGAAATTATTCGTTATATCACGAACAATCAACCATACCTAGGTAAATGAATTCGATTTTCAATCAGTGTCGTATGTTTGTAGCCAAGCGTCACAATAAAATAATTATGGTAAATATGACTAAGTCACAAAACTAATATACCATATCAGAAACTCATGTACTACAAATTTGTTTACTATAAAACAAAGCCAATATAATAAAAAGGATGATTTAGCAAAGCTTTAATACAAGTAAATTTGGATGGTGTCTTGTACAAAACTGTACACTCCTAAGGTAAAAATGCTGGTTTTAAATCATATCAAAATAAATTAATATTATATTTTTTCGCTCAAAAATTCACACCTATTCTTCAGTTACCAGAGATTCCATAGTAAAAACTCATGAAAGCAAACTAAAATGACCATAAATGTCTCAGAATTCTATACCTAGTCCTCGACAATTTCCTTCCTTCTCAGTTGCTGCATTTCGCCTTTGAACTAGGGGCCGTAAACCCCGACGACGACAAGTTTCTTTGCGTCTTTCTCAGTCAAATTATCTCATTAT